GAAACGAGTACTTCCTTGTGGAAATCACAAGTCCCCTGAACTTGGTCATTCTTAGCCTATCCAGCACTGTCAAAATGGTCTCTGTTTTAAAAACTGCATTCAGTTACAGCAGGTCTCTTCACGTTGTTTTTTCTTACCCATCTCTTCCTTATATAGAGCAAAGGATTAAATAACCTGTTACTGTAGTTCCACCTACTGGCCATATACGTATGGGAAGTGGTGCTGAATGAACACATGGGTTGAAAGAATGGAATGAAAATAAAGGGGGCAGAGGTTGAAGAGCCTCTCAAGATAATTTCCCACACTAGATGTTTTTTGCAAATGTTCAAATTTGTATTCCCTAACTGGATTTTTTTCCTGTAGATCCTAATTACAGATACAGCTGTAGTTAGGCTTCTTCCATAATTTAAAACAACAAAAACAGCACATGATCTAAAAACAGATGTTTGCCTCAACAAAAATAACTATTTTAGTATCTTTCCTAGTTTGATTCTGAAGTAACCACAAAGTTTCATGTTCTTAACATCCCAATATTCCACCTTGGATTGCACCTCAAAATCGTCTTCTCTCAACATTCTTCATCCTGTTTGTGGGCGAGAGAAAGCAAGGGTGACCACTTGGCCCGTTGTTTTCCATGCTGAGGAGAAATTTATTTATTTATTTATTTATTCGATTTATATCCCGCCCATCTGGTATATTCTACTACTCTGGTTGGTGGGGATCAATCCTAGGGATGGCATAGCTTCTTTCTCTTTTCCTGGGGTGGTAGCGACGAGGCAGTGGCAGCAGCTAGAGTGCTGGCAGCTGGGTCGCCATTTTGAGGTGCAATCCTAACTAGCCAAGATGGCCGAAGGACTGGTTGTGTTGTAGGGCTGTAACTAGAGCAGGACAAGTGAGTTTGTACCCCCAGGGTGCCTAGACCTAAAGGCGCCAAAATCTGAATGTGAGTCTGTCTGTTCATGCTTGTTAGGAAAATATATGGCAATGCCTCCTTGTTCTTTTTAGTTTTACCTCTCTTTAAAAGCAGAAACTTTGTTTTGGGAAGGCACCACATTCTTTCTCTTGATGGGAATCATAACTACATCTCAGCACGGAGTGGGGAGTGGAGACACGGTCACTTGCTCTGGATGCCAAAAGTTCTAGTTACAGCTCTGATGAAGCCTGCTAAGGCTGTGCTGAATTCAAACACCCGGTTGTTATTGTTACCTGCTGTCAAGTCACCTCCAGTTTATGGCAACCCTATGAATGAGCAATCTCCAGAATGACATGTCTCCAACAGCATTGCTCAGCTGTTGTACTCTCAAGCCTGTGGGATCCTTTAAGGAGTCAATCCATCTAATATTTGGTTTTCTCTTTCCCTGCTGCCATCAACATTTCCAAGCACTATTGTTTTTTTCCAGTGAATCTTGCCTTCTCATGATGTGCCCTAAGCATGACAGCCTGAATTTTGCCATTTTTGCCACCAGACAAAGTTCAGGACTGATAGGACCCACTCATTTGTCTTGAAACTTAATAGGGGGAACATGGCTGCACGCTTGATCTCAGTGGTTGTACAGCCAAGAATTCCTAAACACAGCAAAGGCTGGTGGGAAAGGCATGAATTAAAACACAAACTGGTTGCAATGTGAATCTACGTAAGTTTATTACAAAGCTTTGATTCAACCATTTGTTGAAGAGGAGGAAAAGCAGGATTCCTAACAAGGCAAGATCTTCTTGGAAGCAGGAGACAACAGGTCGGATTGCATGAAATCAGGAGGACAAGATCAAACAGTGGTCAGGATTCCACCGGGTTTGCTCAACATGGACTGCTTGCTCTCATCTATTGGCGAGATGTCCCTGGAAGAAATGATGGACCAGTCGATAAGGTGGTGGGAACAGGAAATGCTTTAGCTCTCCTTTAGGCCACATCTATGAGGTGCATGATGTTGCTTGTAGGTCTGAAACCAACCCTTTGGCTTTATGTGCCAGTGGTCTTGTCCTCTTCTGGGACATTC